TCGGGGGATGGGAAACACTTCTTATCTACAGGGTGCCTGAATGAAACGTCATTGTACACCTACCCTTAACTGTACCCCACAAAACCATAATAAAAACTACTGATTAATGAAAAAAAAAAAAAAAAAAATACCTTAGCCGTTGTAGGCCACAAAGCCTTCCATGTAAGTTTCCACTTCTCTACTTGAGGTCCCCCATACTCCATTTATAAGATGGGAATCTTGAGAAGGAAATAGTGAAAAGTGTGAAATAAAAGCAATCTTAGCTGGCCAATACAGACTCCATGTCTGATCAGCAAAAGAGCTGCTCTCTGGAGAAGGAGTTTTAGGCAGTGACCCAAGGTCTTGGCAAGGGCTGTCCACGTTTAAATGCAGGGGAACAAACCAGGCTTCCTGAGCTTTGAGGAGAGCTTACAGAAAAAGCAAGAAGCAGCGATAAAATTGAAATATTCTAGAGATATATCAAATATTTTCTGTGTTTTTTGATGAAAAGTGGTAGAAGGAGAAATGGTGGACAGAGATTGGGAAGTCATCTGGACAAGGAGGAGAAGTTGTCAGGGTACTATACCCAGGAAAAGAGAGTAAGGTTAGTGAAAGTTTATATTTGTTAGGGGACTCCAAGTTACAAGCAGCAAGTCAAAAAGCCTGAGTGGTGCCTATGGACCTAAAGAGAGACAAACAGTAGAAAGAAGAAAGTTCCAAGATCATCAGCAGGTGGTGGTAAAGAGAGTACATCAGAGGTGGCCTGTGCTGGGTTGGGGGAACCTTCAAAGAACCAGGGTCTTCCTCACACCTCCTCCTACCCAAAGCAGCACTTGGCCTCAGGTCTGGCCCCACACAGCCTCCTGGCCACCATACCCAGAAGCTTACCACAAAGCCACATGGTACCCAAGATGAACCCCAGCAGGAACAAGAAGACATCCAACAAATACTACTCATGCCAGGGCTGCTGGAAGACATAGGGCTTGAGGTGTGCCACCCCCCTTGTCTGGAGGATGTGGTCAGTCCAGCCAACCAGGCGCTGGGCAGGGGTCAAAGGGTGAGAGCGCCTAATGATGCTGGCAGCCACCGCTGCAGACTTGTGCCTGTTGGTGGGGACAGAGAGTGGGTGGTGTTACTGATATGATCTCACAAAACTTAGAGATTTTGTGTTGCTTGGGAGTCCACATAGGCATACAAACACTTTTCTAACACATGCCCAAAGGCTGGATTTCAACAATAATTTTTTGGAATGAACTTACCACTGTCTAACTGAGTCCCCTTGAAAAATTCATTGAAAATACCCATATACAAAGATCAATGATTAATCTTAAAGGTGCTAGACTATTAAAAAGTGATTAAATCTCTAAGGACTCGTTCATCTCCCTTGGATGCTTATAGTATACTAAAGTAAAAAATGCATACGACTATATGTGATATAATATATGCCTGAGCCAGGAGTGGTGACTCACGCCTGTAATCTCAGTACTTTGAGAGGTGGAGACGAGAGGATTGCCTGAGCCCATGGGTTTGAGACCATGGGTTTGGTGAGACCTCATCTCTACAATAAACCAAAAAAAAAAAATTATCTGGGTGTGGTGGCATGCACCTGTAGTTATAGCTACTCAGAAGACTGAGATGGAAGGTTCGCCTGAGCCCAGCAGGTGGAGGCTGTGGTGTACACAATCATACCATGGCACTCTGGCCTGGGTAACAAAGTGAGGTTCCAACTAAAAAAAATGCACACAACACACACACACACACACACACACACACACACACACACACACACACACACACCTGATTCAGGGTTTCTTCCCTTGAACTATAATAAAGTATTCAGTTTGTCTTGACTATAAGATAATAGGCTAGATGGACAGTTACCACGGAAGTCACCAGGCCTTTTTCATTCCCTCACTTAACTGAAATTCATGAAAACATACTTTGTGGCAGGCCCTGTGCTAGGCACTGAGAATAGAGTGGAAAACAAGAGATACACATTGCTGTCCTCATGGAGCTGACCCTCTACTCTCCAATATGGGAAGACAGATAGTTAATAAAAATAAATAAA